GTGAACTTTAAAATCCCCTGATGTCTGTTTCTCAGCCTTGCTGTAATGTCTTGCTACCCTTCTCCCCATCTCAGTTTATGTGTCTTTGCGTGCAACACATGATGGGTGAGGACTGAGGACAAAAGGAATGGTGGGCACTTGATCATTTGGCCTGAATGAGAGAAAAGAGTACCAGTAGGACAAACACATTAAAGTAACACAATGTATTAGCTTCTTGGGATATCTGTGAAGATAAAGAGAGACATAGTAATAATATCAAGGGAAAATCCCAAATTATTGTGTGGTCAGTTTTTGGATAATTAAATGGAGCAACTTAAAGTTAAGTGCAACAATTATATTATGAAAAGTTTTCTTTTAGAAAAACTTATAGATGTTTCTCTCATCGGTAGGAGGATGACTTCATTATCTCTCACCATTTCACTTGGTACTTTCTTGTACAGCTTTCATTGGTTTCTGGAATTGTATTTCTTATATAAATATTTGTGAAAGTTACCCTCACAATATATATTAATTCATCAACCTAGACCACTTAGGAGGATTTGAGTTTGCATGCATATTAATGGACCTATACATTTCAAATAAATTATTTATCCCAGTGTTCACAAATATATTTTGTTCTTATATCATTTACTCATTTCTTTTGTGGCATCTTGATCATTTAAAGCTAAAGACATTTTTAAGAGCAGTTAGTTGATTAAATAAATCACTCATTTATATATTAATTCAGCAAATGTCAGCCTTTAAATCAAATATTTTCTATTTTTAACTATGAATTGTTTTATCTGCTAGGTGTATGTATTTCTGGAAATTTCTAGATCTTGTGGTATTTTTATGTGAATATTTCTATACCTTTTTCTTAATCATTTAAAGTTTTAGGTATTATAAATTAATGTTTGTACTTCCATTTGATCTTTGCGGCACTGTCTCCTCAGCGTTTAGTATCATGACAAGTTACCCTCTTCTTTTTAAGTGTAGCAGTCAGTGCCGAAATCCTCACTGTGCTGGCACAGCAAGAGCCTCACTGGAGATCATATCTCAACCTGATGAACTTTCTTTACATTTTAAACAAGTCCTATATTTTAACATAATAAATTAGGGGAAAAACATCATTTACAGTTTCCTATCTTTAACTGCCAGTTACCTAAGAGAGATTTTGATATTGATTTATGTGATACTCAATTTGTAAAATCAGGACTGCCAATACTCTCAAATTTTAAATGTCTCGGAGTAACTAACTTTTTCATTTCTCTTAACTGTCAAAAATGAAAATTCATATCTTTCTTAACCTATTTCATAGGATATTGTGAATCAAGTACAATAAAATTATTTTAAAATGTCTTGAAAAGTTAATAGCAATGACAATTACCATGATGATAGTGGCTTCCATTATCCTGCGGTGGACCAGCCCTGCAGTGTGGCCTTCCTCTGTTATCTCTCTTGACGGTTGTCGTGTTCTTGAGGATAGTTAGTACTATCTCCATTTAAAAATAACTGCAGGTCACCAGAGGGAAAAGGTAAGAAAAGTAAAGAAATTGTGATTAAGAAATACAAACTGGTAGCCACAAAATACTTCTGGGTATGTGAAGTACAGTATAGGGAATATAGTCAATAATAATTGTAGTAACTATGTATGTTATTCAGTAGGTATTTGAAATGTTGGAGAGAACACTTTATAAAGTATATGATTGTCTAATCACTATGTGGTACACCTGAAAGTAATACAAAATAACATTGACTATAAACTGCAATTTAAAAATAATTTTTTTACAGATGATAAGGTATTTGAGGAGTTCAAAGGGAAGGAATAGTTGCTTCTGGCTGGTTCAGTAAACGCTTTCTGGAGAGGTGATATTCTGGCTATCCTACAGCATTTATGGAAATGTCTGCTGGTACACCAGGACATTTCCATAAATGGTCTTTTATGGACCATGCATTTAATTGGAAACAGTCTTCTTTATTTGTAAAGCAGGTATTCTTTTGTGCTTAGGCTGAGAGCTTGCTTTAAGTATATAATCTGTTTTAGACTGCCTTCTGCTTTTTTCTCCCTAAAGGGGGAGATTACACTGCCTTATTTTCCTCAGGGAAGGTAGGCCACTGTTTTCTCCCTAAGGCTGTGTTAGAGGTTCTGTACGAGAGACTTCAGAGTACTTCGTGTTCTTCCCAGCCCTTTGGTGAGGTCAAGATAGTGCTGATCATTGCAGTTTACCCTGTAGCGATAGTATCATAAAGTGTATTTATTTCATAGGTTATTTGATGCTACAAATCTTGAGCAGAATTTATAGGTACTGCAGACATTGTAAGGATTTATCATAAAAATATTCAAAGAAATTAGTTAAGCACTATGGTTCATCTTAGTAATAAAGGTTTTTCAGCTGTAATACTATTTATGTGTTTCTTCAATATTTTGCCTTTTATAAAATCTGTCAGGGTCTGTGGGAATTGTAGGGTTGAGTCAGAACACCAAATACCTATGTCACTTTTTAATCAGGGCTGCACAAGTGAATAAATAGTACCTGAAGAGAGAACTAGTGCTGCTTAGGCTGGCAGCTGAGCATAGCTGAATGCTGGCCCCACAAGAATAGTCCATACAGTAACAAGAGCATGTACACAGCTGGCACACTTGATCTTGAGCAGGACAGTGGGTTGCCCTGAAGCTCTCTGGACAGCAGCTTCTGCCAGTGTGTTGATGGGTAAGAGGACTGACCTGGTATTCAGGGTTGGGTTGAGGATGAGCCCTGAATACAAGTACAAGGTTTTAAAATTCTTAAACTATATCTAAAAATGCACCTGTAACTAATGCAGCCCCTAAACCTAGGGCGTTTTCCCTTTGTTGAAAACCCCAATTTTCCACCATTCCTCTGGCTGCCTTGCCCAGGATAAATGGTGTATGTGCCAAAGTAACCTCATGTTGTCTTGACTTCCTTTCCTATTCATCAATTGAAGATGAGCTACTTTTTATTAAAGAAACACCTGTAGCAGCAGAGCAGATTCAGTATTCACTTCCTAATCAGTGCCTTTCTTTAATACTTGTTTTTAGCCCCCCATTCTCCTCTCCCATACTGACCAGCTTAGCATTGTGCTTGTTGATACCCTTTCTCCATTCCATTTCCTTCCTTATCTTAATAAATAGAAGGAGGATAGATATATACCTCAGGAATTCAAGATAGTGCTCTTGGGGAGGTTTGTAGCCATGCTGAATGTGGGAACACATAGACACTTAGAGAAAGGAAGAGATGGAAAATTTGGGGTTGTTTAGAAAATGAGAAAAATAAATCTAAGGAAGAAAGAAATGGAAGTGAAATTAAACTATATAACTAAAAACTTGACATCGTTTAAACATTAATTTTTAAATTTTTATTTATTTACTTTTAGAGAGGAAGGGAGGGAGAAAGGGAAGGAGAAACATCAATGTGAGAAACATTGATGGATTGCCTCTCAATATGCACCCCAGCAGGAGACCAAACCCACAACCCAGGCATGTGCCCTGACCAGGAATCAAACCAGTGACCTTTTGCTTTGCAGGATGATGCCCAATCAACTGAGCCATGCCAACCAGGGCTAAAAATTAATTTTTATTATTCACTATTAACCAGTTGGCTAAAGTAGTGAAGAAACTCATATTGGTGTCTTATTAGGAAGACAGTATGCTAGATACTTAACACTTTTAATCTCCTTCAATTCATTTTTTAAGTTAAAAAACAGAGTAATAGAAAAACATAAGTATATTCCCCTCCTACAATTAATAATTTTTTGTTTTTTTTTAATTCACATTTTTTAAATAACAGAAAAAATATGATAAACAACTTGGAAATCCCCTGAGTTTCTTCCCTGAGTTTCTTCTCTTCCTCTCTTGTTGCATACAGTGGTTATGGAGAGTTTTCTATATATCCTATTACTCAATATTTATATACTTTTATTAGAGAAATTCCTCAAATACAGGGTGCAGAAAAAGTAGGTTCACAGTTGTTCATATGGAAAATAATACAATAATAAATAATAATACAAGAATTAACTCTCTGTCATGTACTCACAACTGGAAACTTACTTTTGCCCCACTCTGTATTTTATGATTTTCTGTGTTTGAAAAAAATGACATTATCAGTACCATATATTGCATATCTAGTGTATCCCTTCTTCTTTTTAAGATCTCTCTGTGCTGATACATATAGATTTGGTTCACTTACATTAACTTCTGTATTGGTTTGTGCTGGGTCCAGTTTGCTGCCCTGACAAACAATACAGAGATGGACATCTGTTTAGGTTTCCTGATGCATGTGACAAGAGTTTCTGGGTACGTATCTAGGATTTCTGGGTTATAGGCTATGCGCACTGTCAACTTCATTTATCTCATTTAATTCTTTAAAATGTCAATTAAGACTGGTGGCATGATCCTCACTTTACACATGAGAAAACTCAGGTGCTGAGATGGTGTACCTCAGTGGGTTGACTGCGGGCTGAGAAACAAAGGGACAAAGGCTTGCTGGTTCAATTCCCAGTCAGGGCACATGACTGAATTGTGGGCCAGGTCCCCAGAAGGGGCTTGTGAGAGGCACACATTGATGTTTCTCTCCCGCTCTTTCTCCCTCCCTTCTCTTCTCCCTAAACATAAATAAATAAAAAAGGAAGCATAAGGATCAATTAGGTGACCATACTTCCTTTGAGTATATGGTTATCAAAAGGTTCAAGTTTTAGGGTAAAAACATGCTCTGTGAAATGTTCTGAGTTTTCTATGTGCACAAGACTATTTGTTTATGATAGAACACTATATTTTATGTTGCTTAAAATATATTACATGCAACATGCAGTCTATTTTGGTTTTTTAAAAAAGATGTTACAGTGAACATGTTAGAATCTATTTACTGTGTAAAATGTACAGACCATTTTCTCCAGGTGAAGAAAGCTAACCGAACGTGATTATTTTGTTCAAGACACTTTATTTACACTTGAATCAGATATCTTTTAGACTTTATTTTTCCTTTGTTCTTTTCTTCACCCTCCAGGTAGCAGATCTGGTATGTTAATTGTGAAAATTCTAGAGCTGCATGAAGAATGTACCATCCAAGTTGCAATGTGTGAGCAGTTAGGGGGACCGCAGACTGACGGCCCTTCTCAGGGTGAGGCCCCTGGGACTAGCCTGAAGGTTCTCTTCACAAAGGAGACCGCACACTATCTCAGGGGGCGTCCACAAGATGTCATCCATATCTACCCTCCCTGGTGAGTATAAATAACTGATTCCAGCAGTCACTAACTGACTTTGTCTCAAAAGTGTTTGTCTCAAAAATGTTATCATGAACATTTTTGTCACGTTATTATAGAGAAATTCCAGGGAAAGGAAGCCAGGATTTGCCCTAGATTTTTTAATAACACAAGCACTGTATTGTCTCTAATGGCTTGTTTGTAGAGTTTGATCTAAGGAGCATAAATAGTCATTAATAGTTTAAAAATTAATTTTAGGATATCATTTTTGTTTTCTTCCTCATAGGATATTAATTTTTACCATGAAAAGAAGAAAATCTTACTGGTGATTTCATCCCATCTTGTAGCTCTAAATACTAGTTGTGCATTAATGAGTCTCAAACTTAGTCTGGAGCCCATACCCCTGCCCCATCACCAGAGCCAAATGCCTTACTGCCTCCTCCCACCCACTTTCACCTGTGTGCTGATGGTGTAGCAGAAGCTCCTGACCTTCCCTTCTTTTCCTACAATTTTTCCCATCTCAGAAAATGGAAATAAACTTGCCGTTTCTCCAGATGTCCTCAACTCCCCTTTTACTTATAATCTCCTCCTACCCATGGGTACCACCTAACCCACTTCCAAATCCACACAGGGCCCAGCATTTCTCATTACCTCTAGTGTCATAACCATTTTCAGGTAGTCATTTTTGTTTAGATTATTACAATAAACCCTTTCATTCCACTTTTTTCCTTACTTTCCATCTGTTTCTTTTTGAGATGACTAGAGGAGCAAAACTGTATATGTGTAAAGTCATCATACTGCTTTTTGCCTAGACATTCCACAGTAGCTGCTCACCTTGTACAGTGTCAAAGCCCCTCCCTCCTGAGCTCGGGAACCTCATGTGCTAGTCCTCTCACCACCCCAGTTCCATTTTGGCTACTTGGGATTTTATCCTGGTCCTCAAATTTCATGTCACTCCCTCTATTTTCACTTCGGGGCTGGTTCTTGCCTCTCCTTGTACTGGGATGCTATGTCTCACCACCTTCCCTTGTCTGAAAGGTTTGCTGTTTTCTTATCTCCTCTAGGATTTACCTTCTGGTAGCTTCTAAAGTGGTCCTGGATCACATATCTAAAGTTGGAAACTACCTCTTTTACACCCTTTGGTCTACTTTTTTACTTTATTTTTCACAATCACATATATTAAAGCTTGTCACTTTTTATTTGTTCATTTGCTTTTTGTGTGTCTTCTGCTACTAGGTTCCTAACTGTCTCTTTTACTTCTTAGGGCTGAGGGCACCCAGTAGAACTTTGATATGGAGTGAATGAACAGTTTTCTCCTTGCCCTAACAGTGCTTCTGCTATCTACAGTCTTTTACTGTAATTCTTGGTGTTCTTTCAGCTGTTTAAAGTTATCAGAAGTCCTTACTGGAAACTTATGGTAAAATCCAATAATATCGCAAGTATTTGATTTTTTGCAGTGTGTCCTAGTTTCACCTTCTTTATCAACATACAACAGGCATTTATGTTTTAGTTTATTGTACCTCAACAAAAAATGTGTATTTAAGCTAAACTGAGTTTTCCCACAATTAGCCACAGAAAACTTGAGCATAATTATCTTTGCAACTATCTTTACAAATAGTGTGCTCTAAATCCCTGGCTCTTTTCTTTAAAAAAGCAGGTAAAGTTGTACTTTTTAGTATAACTAAAAAAAATACAACTAAAAAAAGCTAAAAAGTTCTACTTTTTAGAATCATTATGTAGGTCCCTATAGCATCGAAGTTCATCTAGATCTCCATGCCTTTAGTATGTTTTTTTCCTTCTCATTTCATTCTAACAGTATTTTCTGTATTTTGCTGTGCCTAATGCACACCCATGTTTTTGGCCCAAACTGTCAGGGAAAAAAACCTTTATTTAAAATTTTCAATTCAAATGTTTATTAATTTTTACAAACAAAATCAGTGATCATATTCCAGGGTGTCATTTTCCATGTATATATTGTTATTGCTTTCTAGAAGCATACTGTAATGCATAAGCATAAATAAATGAATGAAGAACATTTATATAGGTACAGAATTCATCCTACCCATATATAATGTACATCCTTGTTTTTCCCTCAAAAAATGGGGCAAAAGCATGCATTATACATAGAAAAAATACAGTAATTGGTTTTTTAGTAGGCATTTAATACCTATGATGCAGAATTCAAAAGTATCAAAGGCTGGGCAGTGATAAGTGAGTCTTCTATACTTTTTCCCCTAGCTACTCAATTCTCATCTCCTGAAGCAGGTCCTGATACCAGATTCTTACACACCTTCCAGAGATGGGGTATGTGTGTGTGTGGGGGGGTGTTGTAATACACTCATAAAATATATATATGCATAGATGATGAACTCACATGCTTATATGTATGTATTTCCAGTCCTGCTCAGGGCCACCTGACATTAGTTATAATGCTAACTGCAGATGGCTGCTACTGGTGCTTGGTTTAGAAGTACCCAGAAGGAACCAAACTGCAAACCAAGGTCAGCAGCACTAGTGCCAGGTCTGGGGCCACTTAGCAAGAGATATGGGGCTTACCAAGGAAAGAAAGTCCAAGCATAAGCCAACATAGGCCTTTTGTATGGAAAAGCTACTGGAAAGGATTTAGGTGGGCCTGCAAGTTGTATGGGGTCCCATCTCAGGAAATCATCAAGGCAGGATGAACAGAGGTAGTTAAGTTGATGGAGACTCAGATATGGCACTCTGCTGCTGCCTTTATTGAGCAGAGGGGCAGAGAGAGTTCACAAAGGAACAGTGGTCTCTGCCAGCCCTTCTATCTAGAAGAAAGCTGCCACTCCAGCCCTTACCCTGATTCCAGACAATTCAGTTTCTCCATGTAGGTTACTGGTGCCTTTTGAGCTACTGCCCCATAACTAGAGTTCACAGTGAGTAAGTCAAAGTAATTCTTTGTGAGGGCTCTTTAAGAGGAACACCTGGCTCTGGCTGAGATGGAGGCGTAGGTAGATACACTTTGCCTCCTCACACAAACCAAAAGGACAACAACAAATTTAAAAACAAAAAAATAACCAAAACTGCCAGAAAATCAAACTGTATGGAAGTCTGACAACCAAGGAGAATCATTCATCTAGAAGAATCATTCAAAGAAGAATCATTCATCTGGACCGGTAGGAGGGGCAGAGACAAGCAGCCAGGGTGCAGAGGACTTGTGGCAAGGTGATGGCTGGAGAACTGGGGCAGCCATTCCGGCAGCTGGGTGGACTGGGTGAGGCAGTAGCTGGTGGAGCTGACGGCCCCATATTAACATGCAGATAAACCAGGAGGAACAAGTAGGGAGTGAGATAGACCAGGCAACCCAGGGTTCCAGGAAAGGAAAATAAAGCCTCAAAACCTCTGACTGAAAAAAACCTGTGGGAGTTGAGGCAGTGGGAGAAATTCCCAGCCTCACAGGAGAGTTCATTAGAGAAACCCACAGGATCCTAGAACATATACAAACCTAATGACCCAGGAATCAGCAACTGGAAAGGCCCAATTTGCTTGTGGGTAGTGGAAGAAGTGACTGAAAGCCTACGGAAAGCCAAGCAAGCAGCATTGTTCCCTCTCAGACCCTTACTCCACATACAGTGCCACAGTGCAGTGACGTGGGTTGCCCTGCCCTGACAAATACCTAAGGTTCCATCCCTTACTACATAACAGGTGCGATGAGACAAAAAAATATGGCCTGAATGAAAGAACAGAGCAAAGCTCCAGAAAAAATACAACTAAGTGATGAAAAGATAGCTAACCTATCAGATGACGATTTCATAACACTAGTAATCAAGATACTCACAGAAATGGTTGAATATTGTCACAAAATAGAGGAAGAAGTGAAGGCTGTGAAAAGTGTAATAAAGGAAAATGTACAGGGAACCAACAGTGAAGGGAAGGAAACCAGGACTTAGATCAACAGTTTCAATCAGAAGGAAGAAATAACCATTCAACCAGAACAGAATGAAGAAACAAGAATACAAAAAAAATGAGGAGAAGCTTAAGTATCTCTGGGACAACTTTAAACATTCCAACATCCAAATCATAGGGGTGCCAGAAGGAGAAGAGGAACAGCAAGAAGTTGAAAACTTATTTGAAAACATGAAGGAGAACTTCCCTATTCTGGCAAAGGAACTAGACCTCCAGGAACTCCAGGAAGCTCGGAGAGTCCTAAAGAAGTTGTACTAAAGGAAGCACACAACCAAAGTACATCATAATTACATTACCCAAGATTAAAGATAAGGAGAGAATCTTAAAAGTAGTAAGACAAAAGGAGACAGTTACCTACAAAGGAGTTGCGATAAGACTAACAGCTGATTTCTCAAAAGAAACCTTGCAGGTAAGAAGGGACTGGAAAGAATTATTCCAGTTCATGAAAGGGAAGCATCTACCTCCAAGATTACTCTATACAGCAAAGCTATCATTTAGAATGGAAGGGCAGATAAAGTGCTTCCCAGATAAGGTCAAGTTAAAGGAGTTGATCAACACCAAGCCCTTATTATATGAAATATTCATGGGACTTAACCTAAGAAGATCAAAGAAGAAGATCAAAAACTATGAACAGTAAAATAACAACAAAATCAGAACTATCAACACCTGAACCTAAAAAAACAAAAACAAAAGCAAACTCAGCAAACAACTAAAACAGGAACAGATTCACAGAAATAGAGATCACACGAAGGGTTATCATTGGGGAGGGGGAAGGGAGGAAATGAGGGAAAGGTACAGGGCATAAGAAACATAAATGGTGTTTACAAAATAGACAGGGAGAGGTTAAGAATAGTATGGGAAATTGAGAAGCCAAAGAACTTATATGTATGACCCATGGACATGAACTAAGGTGGGGGAATGATGGTGGGAGGGATGGTGCAGGGCAGAGGGGGAATCAATAAAGGGGAGAAACAAATAGGACCACTATAGTAGCATAATAAATAAAGTTTGTTTTTTTTTTTTTTTTTTTTGAAGGAATACTTGGGACTCCATCCACCCTTGGCCACCCTTGGCCACCCTTTGTC